GTATTATATAATACCTTTTCCCTGTGCCGTTCCACATTATTACAAATAACTTAATTTCTGGACATTTATGGTTTGATTTCTTTGTATGTATGGATCACTTGGGTTGTTACCAACATCTGGTGAAAATTTCATGTCATTAGCACCTCTAGTAATACATTTACTGAGAAAAATGGTGAAGTGTTCAATGCTTATTTTACCCGCTGTATATCAGCTGTAGCAGCATCATATGAATTCTGGTATTTTACACATAGTCCACCAGGAGGCGCCAACACAAAGGTCAGAGACTTTACATGAGATTTGGGCCATCTTGTGGGTTAAAAGCAGATTACTTCCTACTCGCGAGTGCCCCCTCTGGTGGGGAAATGTTTTTTCAGGGATAGAAACTTTTTCAGAACACCGGTAGATGGCAGCCATTACAAACGAACGTGTTTGTATTTGTTCGAGGAGCGGCCCGGTCACACACTAATGTCATTAGTTCGTTATCATTACTAAGGTGTAGGAATATTTTTTCTTTTATTTACATCACGTCGCCTGCTTGGGTCTGTTATCTCACTCTGAAGCAAGAAGCAGTGTCAGAGGTGAGCTCGTTTCAAATGCTTTTTACAACGCGGTCTCATTTCCGGACTMAGGCATTTTGTRWATGAAGCCGATATTTCAGTTAAAATACATAAGTAAAAATATTTATCCGAATATAATACTACCCCCCAACTTTATGGATAATTTTATGGATTTAATTTTATGTATTATACTTGAATAAATACGGTAGATGTATGTGTACATCAGTTACTTTCTGGATGTTTAATTAAAATATGTCCAGTGGTTCATAAAAATTTTTGCTGACAAATATGAACATGCAGAGACAAAAACATGATATCCCACCTCTTGGTGGCTGACGATTAATAGATCTGAAAAAAAAGTCATCTTTCTTCAGAACCTCAGCACACGTGTGTTGGCGCGTGCGTGTTCATGTTGACAGTGTCGGTGACGTAAGGGCCCCCAGGCTCCTCTCTCTCTCTCTCTCTCTCTCTCTCTCTCTCTCTCTCTCTCTCTCTCTCTCTCTCTCTCTCTCTGTCTGTCACACACACACACACACACTCTTCGGCAGTTGGGTGCAGCAGCAACAGACGCTCGATGCTCCTCTCGATGTGCAGAGAGGAGCAGGAGGATCGGATGAGCTCTGGGGATGAATGGCTCCTCTCTCTCCTTCTCTCTCTTTGGGAAGGTTTGCTTCTTTTTCTTTTCTTGCTTTCCTTTGGACTAGGGTTTTTCTCGCACCTGAGCTTTGGAGGCTGTAAGGAAAGGAAGCTTTTCATCACTGATGCACCTTTGTCTGGATTTTAAAAAGTGAATTAGCTGGGTTTTATCATTATTACTCTTTTTATTATCTGTGACATTATTTTTCCTCCTGGATCTAACCGACGTGGCGTGTTTTCCTGTGTGGATCAGCTGAGTGGGAGGGTTCGACAGTCAGTGTCGCCCACTGAATATTTGTCCGCAGCTGACAGTGCTTGATCTGGGAGAAAATGTTGAATAAAACGAGCTGAGCTGTAAAGGGAGAGAGCGAGGGAGAAGGTGCTGCAGCACCAGTTCTCCTCTGAAAATGTGCCAAGTCTACCAGCTCCACAGGATTTAATTATTTTTTTGCCTTTTTTCCCTTCATTTTCTTCACAGGGACTAATATTAGTTTTCATTTATACATTTTTTGTTACATCTTTTGAATCCAAATTGAAGGTCAGTGGAGAGATTTGCGCCAATCTATGAGCTATGCTCTCATTTTAACACCAACATACTGGTGGTGTGCCTGTTCATCACTCTCCTCTGTGTGTGTGTGTGAGTGTAAATATGTGTGTGTGTGTTTATGTGTGTGTGCGCTTCTCCTTCCTCTATCTCCTCTCCTGTTCACRAGAACTCACTCCTTCCTTTTTTCCCCCCCTTTGAGGCTCAGGCTGCGAAGGTAAATGCTGGATCTATGTTTCAGCGCCCCTTTCTGGCTGTAAAAATGCTGACCGGCATCCTGTTTCTGAGCGTCCTAACGGTCACCAGCCTGTCACCACCTGAAAGGGAGAGCCGCAAAACCCCAGCTCTTAAAGACATCTGCAAGATGCGCTGTGCCTGCGAGGATCGTGAAAACATCCTCAACATAAACTGTGAGAACAAGGGATTCACCACGGTCAGTCAGTTCCAGGTGCCACTAAATAAAATTTCCCAGTTCTTTTTGAATGGAAATTTCCTGTCAAGGCTCAGCCCCAACGAGTTTATCAGTTATGGAAACGTCACCTCTTTGCATTTGGGGAATAATGGACTGCAGGAGATCCGAACTGGGGCTTTTAATGGACTCCATTTGCTGAAGCGGCTTCACTTGAACAACAACAACATGGAGGTGATTAAAGAGGACACATTTGCTGGACTGGAGAGTTTGGAGTATCTACAAGCAGACTATAACTATATCAGCACCATTGAGCCTGGTGCTTTTAGCAAGCTGAACAAGCTTAAAGTGCTGATTCTCAATGACAACCTGCTGCTAGCTTTGCCTCCCAATATTTTTCGTTTTGTGCTCCTCACCCACTTGGACTTACGTGGCAACCGACTCAAGATGCTACCTTTTGCTGGAGTACTGGAGCACATTGGTGGCATAATGGAGATCCAGCTGGAGGAAAACCCTTGGAACTGCACCTGTGACTTGATCCCCCTCAAATCCTGGCTGGACACCATCTCCGTGTTTGTGGGGGACATTGTGTGCGAAACACCGTTCAGACTGCACGGCAAAGACATTACTCAGCTCATAAAGCAGGACCTGTGTCCACGCAGAAATGCAGGAGAGCGTGCTCAGCCTGCTTCTGACTCCAGCTTCCAAGGAGCACCACACCCAACTTACCACGCCAGTGTCATCACCCCCACGCGCTCCCCAAAAGCTTCCCGGCCACCCAAAATGCGCTACAGGCCCACTCCTCGTATCTCAAAGGACAGACACGTGTTTGGACCCATAATGGTTTACCAAACCCGGTCCCCTGTTCCCATGCTCTGTCCCAGTGTATGTGTTTGCACATCCCAAAACCAAGACAGTGGACTGAACATCAATTGTCAGGAGCGGAAGCTACAGAACATCAGTGAACTGAATCCCAAGCCCTCTTACCCAAGGAAACTTCACCTAACAGGTAACTACCTACAAGTGATTTACAGAATAGATCTAATGGAGTACAGCTCCCTGGAGTTGCTTCATTTAGGAAACAACAGGATTGCAGTGATACAAGAAGGTTCTTTTGAGAATCTAACCAACCTTCGGCGGCTTTACCTGAATGGGAACTACATAGAGTCACTCTCTCAGTCTCTATTTGGAGGCCTGCAGTCCCTCCAGTATCTTTATCTGGAATACAACATTATTAAAGAGATTTTACCACAAACATTTAACTCTCTGCACAACCTTCAGCTACTTTTCCTCAACAACAACTTGTTGAGATCCCTCCCTGACAATGTTTTTGGGGGCACCATGCTCACTCGACTCAACCTGAGGAACAATCACTTCTCATACCTTCCGGTCCAGGGTGTTCTGGACCAGCTGTCAGCCTTCATACAGATTGACCTGCAGGAAAACCCTTGGGACTGCACCTGCAATATTGTGGCTCTGAAAAACTGGATGGAGCTGTCCAGCACCAGTGTGGTGGTTAATGAAATCACCTGCGACTCACCCTCAAAGCACGCAGGCAGGCTGCTGCGTTCTCTCCGCAATGAGGCCATATGTCCGGAGCCCAGTGAGCCACCCCCACCCTGGTATGCACCCTCAACAAAAGCCCCAACCCTAATGAGTCCCACCACTGAAGCTGCCACCCCATCTTCTCCTTCTGCCTTCTCTTCCTTTAGCTCAGTGATGCCTACAGAGTCCCATCTGATGACTCCAGAGCTGCATCCTGAAGTCCCCCTCTCTGTCTTGATTCTGGGCCTTCTTGTTGTTTTCATTTTGTCTGTGTGCTTTGGTGCAGGACTCTTCGTTTTTGTTTTGAAGCGGCGCAAAGGGGTGGAGCATGTCCCTACAAGCGCCAACAATTTAGATCTCAACTCTTTCCAAGTGCAGTATGGTTCGTACACTCCAGAACCGACCCAAAACAAAAGCTCCGAAAGCCACGTTTACAACTACATCCACCCACCCGTCAGCTCTATGTGCCAAAACCCCATCTACATGCAGAAGGACGGTGAACAAGTCACATTTTATCACAACCTAAAGGAGCTAAGCTTTGGGACACGAGACTCAAAGAAGGATGACGTCCTGACTTGCAACCCAGGGACGTACACCATCAGCACAGTGGATTTTATGGATAAATCACCAACTATATGCAGTCTAACTACCCCTGAGGCCCCAGAAATGCTGTATCAAAACTTAGGAGAGAGGCCCAACAAGGAGCTCCCAACAGCCGCAGGTGCTCCTCCATACACTTACAACTTTTGCACGCTGCCTAAGAGACCCTGCATTGTGCCCTCTTATGGGGCCACCACAGCCAGGCAGCATGTGGCCAAACAGGACAGGCTGAACAAAACTGTGCTTTACGGCACTCCACGGAAATACTATGGGCCAGAATACGTTTATAAAAACAACGAGCACCCATCACTGCTGCTCCCAGGGAAGCTAAAACCAGAACCAGACTACCTGGAGGTTCTGGAGAAACAGACTGCAATGAGCCAGCTRTAAGATAGCAACACAGTTCTACTCCTGGTTTTATTCTAATCACACAGTAACTGTCACAATAATCCTCACTATATATCTATTGTTTCTGTGTTTAATTCCACGAACTGTAGGTGAACCAAATCGTTTGATGGCCTGTTTTTTTCCTCTTCTCTCGATTTTTTTTCAAAGATGTATAAAAAAATATAAGAAGTATATTATTATGTAGTTCTATTTTTCCCTTCTAAAAAGTATAAATTTCTTCTTCTTTTTGTTTTGGAAATATAAAACTCATAAAGACTCTGATGACAGCAGGTATGTAATGAGCAGGGACTGTGTAAAATCACAGCTGTGTGCTTCTTGATGATGCTGTGTTTGATTATTCCTGTGAGGAAAATGAATAAAAGCAGTCCTTACTGTTTGTAGAAGAACTGCTACAGATTGATACTCCTGTATATATGCACCCTACAGTTAAATGGTGAGTGTTCAAATATAACGGAAAAAGCTTTTTTCAGTAGCCCAACAATGGCAAATCTTACTATTAATATCCAAAAAGTGCCTTTGCACTGATCTATTTTATTAACAATGCTCTGCAATTTTTTGAAGTGGTGTATTTTAATGAATCAAATCTTTATGTAAAATAGCAGATTTATTTGTCTGTTGAAAACAAAAAAGTAAAACATGAACTTGAGACCAGGTGTGAAATAATATCTATTCATTCTTGAAATGGAAAACTTTATTTTTTTCTTCTGCTTTGGTTATGAAATGTCTTGTTATGAAGTAAAATGTACAACTTCCAGAGAAAATATGCTGTAGAGGAGCAATACAGTGCGGCAAGACTGCACCATTAAATTTTCACGGAAGCACTTTGTCAAGATCCTGAGCTCCAGGTCATTTTTTGCGTCTATGCACAGTTTTTGATGGTGAGGTGCTGCGTTTTTGTCACTGTGTGCAAGTGTGTGTGTTTTCTTAAGAGGTTAAAGTAAAGTGTTTGCTTGCATCACTGATGAAATATGATAAACACTAATTGACATTTTAGATATTTTTCATTTTTCTCCTTCTGAGGGATAGATGCTGCTGATTCCTAGTTTGTTGGACCTGACACAATATTATTACACACCCCACTGAGCACCTACTAATTACACTCCTTGGATATATTTGTGAGCTGTGAAGTGATTATTGCCAGAAAAGCTACTGATTGGACTCTGAGTCAAACKAAATGCAGGAAAGGACATTCCTTTTTCTTCCTTTATATAAGCTTACATGGGGGGAGAATTGTTATTAGTACAGCAGTTAACATTAGTGACTGGTACCTTTAGTGGGGAAGCAGTGAATGGTAATGTGCCTGTGCAGAATACAGACGATAGTCTGCAGCAACACAAAAGACTGTCTGTTACACCCTTCCTCCTTTTTATTCAGAGGCCATGTGGATCAAGATGAAGAGAGAAAGGTGATATTTGTGTTATTTTTAATAGGTGTAAAAAAGGTTTAATCAATTTCTATATTAATTTCTGTCAACTATTATTAGTACCGTATCAGCTCTGGCATCAGTCATAGATCATAAAGTATGAAGAAAAGTTCAGATGACACTTTTCAAGTAAGATATTTACATTATATATTAATACATTGCTGCAAGAAAGAAAAAGAATTACTACTACTACTACTACTACTACTACTACTACTA